CAATGACGAAATTTCGGATCTTCAAGCCGAGATCCGCGAACGAGACAACTTGTACGACAATGACAGCGAGAAATGGGAAACGGACCGCCGCACGCTGCAGTCGGAGCGCGATCGAGCACAAGAGAAAGCATCGAGCCTGGAAAGCACTATTGCTCGGCTGCGCGAAGCGGAGGGTAACCTATCCGGAAAAGAGGCACAACTTCAGGAGGCGTTGCGAAGTGAGGCTGAGCGTCACAAGAACGAGCAAGCCAGTCTCGACCGCCAAATTTCCGACCTGCGACAAGATCTCGACTCTCGACAGTCGATGCTCACGGAGTTGCGCAATGAACTTTCTGCGACGCGAGACGATCTGCGGCAAACCCAGGTTGACTACCAATCACAGTCAGAGAAGATTGAATCACTAGAGGATGAGGTCGAGGTTCTACAGACGACACTAGATGAAGAGTCTGAACATTCCCGCGAGGAGCTTGAAGCTGCTCGACGCGAGTGCGAGGACCTCAAGCAACAACTCGAGTCCCTTCGCCGCACTGCCGACCTGGCCCGTGGTACCGCCAGCTCATACCAGCAGAACGAGACGCGCGCCAGTGCGTCCCTCGAACGACTGCAGACGCAACTAGACGACTCAAGCGCCCAAGTGGTCAAGCTTGGCAAGGAGAAGAAGGACCTGCAGGACCAGCTTGCATCTCTGGATCTGGAAATGCGCTCGCTGAGGAACTCGCTCGCTGAAGCGAGGGCTGAGCGTGACGAGGTCGAAAGTGAAATGAAGAGGCTGCAGCATTCAGGCGAAGAGACTCTACGCGTCGATCGCGAGAGACTCGACCTGCGGACTGCCAAAATGAAGCTCGACAACGAGGTGCGCCGCTTGAAGGAGGAGAACAACGTGCTCATGGAGCAGAGGAGATCGCTCGAGAGATCGCTGGAAGATGAGATTGACAAGTCTGCGGAGGAGGAGGAGCGTCTCAACCAGGAGATCCTCCAACTGCAGTCCAAGCTCAGGGAGGCGTCGTCTTCTGATGGGCCAGAGTCTTCATCCACGCGCAGGACCATCCGCGAGCTTGAGCGACGCATCCGAGACTACGAAGATCAACTCGTCGCCACGGCCAATGTCCCCGTCGGTAACGTCACGGAGGGCAACAGCGAGTTGTCACTTGTCCGTCGCGACCTGTCAACTGCCCGACAGAGGGAGCGCGAGTTCTTGCAACGTGAATCAGCGCACAAGGACATTGTCAAGAACCTCAAGCGACAGATTGCAGACCTCGAGCGCCAGGCCCACGAGGCCGAAATGTCTCGTCTCATCGCATCGCCAAACTCTTCCAGCACGTCCGCTCGTCCGTCGGAGGTCAACAGCCTCCGCACTCAGCTCTCATCAGCTCAGCAGTCGGTGCAAGAGTTCAAGACCAAGGCGCGCGATGCCGAGCGCAAGGTCGGGCAGATCGAGCGCGACTTCCAGTCCCGCCTCGACGACCTGGAAGACCAGAAAGCGTCGCTCGAGCAAGCCCTCGAAGACGCGCAGCGCGACGCCGACGAAGTTACGGTCCTCCACGAGAAAGCCCTCCGCCGTCTCAGCCAGAAGCTGGACAAGTCGGAACGCGAGCGCAAAGCCGCGGCCTCGAGCCGCCTCAACCTCGACAGCATGTCGTCCGAGCACCGCAACCTCCAGGAGCTCCTGCAGCGGTCCGAGGCGGAGACGGACGCGCTCGAACACGACGTGCTGCAGCAGCAAGACGCCATCGACGCCCTCTCGGCCGCCGAGGCCTCCCTCCGTCGCAAGCTCGAGCGCACGCGCAGCGAGCGCGCCGCCTACAGGCTCACAGCCGAGAAGCTCCAGCGCGACATTCGCGAGCTCAAGGGCCGCCGCCGACACGGCGCCGCAGGGGCCCCGCCGTGTACGACACGCTCAACGAGTCGGCCATTGACACGGTGATCCGCGCGGCCGAGGGCGCCGAGGAACGTCACGGCAAGGAGCTCCGCGGCATGGCGCTCCAGATGGAGTGGATGCAAGCGCGCTGGGAGCGGGAGGTCAGCATGCGCGCCGACGCGGCGTACGCCAAGAAGTTCCTGCAGCTGGAGCTCGAGGCCGCTCACACATGGAACGTCCACTGTCCCCCGGTTGCACAGCAGCAGCAGAAACAAAACGCAGCTAACCTGTCTCTTCTCCCCGCAGCAACAAGGCCCAGCTGCGCGAACTCGAGCAGATCCGCACCGAAGTCCTCGGCAGCCGCCGCGCCCTCGCCGCCCCGCCGCCGAGCCTCGCCGGCCGCCTCGCCCGCCCGCCGGGGTCCCGCCCGACCTTCAAGGCCGTGGCGACGATGGCGCGGTTCGTGGCGCGGGCCAAAATCTGCGCGCGCGAGTGGGCCAAGCACGAGGCCACGCGCAAGAAGCTCGCCGACAGGGTCGAGGAGATGCGCCGCATCAAGAAGAGGAGGGGGCTCAAGGTCGTTCGGGAGGAAGAGGCGCACGCCGTCTGAGCGCTGCGTGGGCATGTTGTTGTCGTCGGACGGGAAACGATTCCGCTGGGCGAGGAGGGTCTGGATGGCGGGACGGCGGGCACGATCTGCTATGCCGCCTGTTGGCGTTGTTTGGGTACAATGCGTGCACTAGCCCTTGAAAGGACAGGGATGGACGGCGTCAAGGTTATGATGGATTTGGGGGTTCGGCTTTTGCATGAGAGGGCTGGCTTGGCCAGAATGAAGAATGTAATGATCCCGCTTGTTCAACTTTTTTTCCTTCAGTCATGGTAGCAGTGGCTGTGTGATTCGCGACATGTCGGCAGAGCACCATCTTCCTGTGGCAACGGCTGCTCCGACGAGTTCATTGACACCTCTGCACCAAGTTCGGACCAAGATGGTTTGACAAGGTTGCACTAAGAGTATGCGCTGCTACTACAGAATCGTGCAACTAC